TTGTTATACAGTACACAAATGAAAATAAATTTTTCTTCTTTCCATATCTTGTGTGGCAAAACTTGAAAATTGATGCTCAGTTTGCTTTCAAAATCTCAACTTCCACAAGAGAAATATTTGACAACTTTTTAAAAACTTTTTTTCTTTCTTTCTCTCCCTCTCTCTTTTTTTAAATGAAAAACTGACTTAATGCAAGAACAAGTATCAATGTATTCAAGTGCTTTCATCAATGCATTCGTTTAATACTGTTTTCAGGAACTGAATTCAGGATGCAATTAAGAATTTTCAGCAATTTTTTTTACTCAGCCTTCAGCTTCTGACAAATGGTCTGGCTGCTCGTGAGTTTTTGTGTTTTCACCATGGGTAATGTGGACACTAGCCAGGTTCCCTAAGAAAGTTCTCCACAAAAGCATTCCTTCCGTTAGGCAGACAGCCTTCATGTGTTTGGCCGTAACTCATATAATCCAATCTTATTCAGTAATTGGTTACTTTGCTGTTACTAGTCTGTAAATTAAATTAATTATAGAAGAAATGGATAAAAGAGTTTAATTTTAATTTGCTATGCATTTAATTTCACTCAAATTTGTCACTGCTATGCACAGATATTCATATGGCTAAGAAAATGATGGATGTGTATGGAATTAATAAACGATTTTGCAGAAATGAAAATGGCAAAATTCAAATTTTTAAAAAATCAGGATTTTTAAAATTTATTTATGGATTTTCATCAGCAGTGTTATCAATCACATTAGTTCATCACATTATTACCTTAATTACCAAAACAATTAGAGCTGATGGATGGAAAGGAGAGACTTAGGAACGTAGAGCTATTAAGCCAGTAGGGAAGGGAAAAATTTCAATACACTTAATATACCTTTTATAAAAGTTATGCAGTCAAACAATTTTTTTATGAAACTTCTAATATAAATGTGTGCTTTAATGTTATAAGAAGGTCATATATTTATTAATTTTGCAAATTTTTGAATAATTCATATTTGTGAGCTAAGTCAAGTATGGTATACTATTAGTGTGGTTTCTTTTTGTTTGTTTATCTATTATGCTGTTTCTCGGTTAGTTTGTAATTAACCAGTCATTATTCATTTCTAAATGTAGTAAATAATAATAATAATAATAATAATAATTTTAAAGAAACTTTAAATTGGTGGCAAATTTTATATAAAATAAGTAAACTGCCTGTTAATTTAATGCTTCTTTTTTTTAATCCAATATTTTGCACTTTTTTCTGAAGCCTGTATTTTGCATGGCATGCTTTCTTTTTGTATAAATTTATTCAAGTGTCCCCAATACATGAAATGAAAAATCTCGTAAAAATCTGATCCCGAAAAGCTGAAATAGAACCCAGAAAAAATAAAAAATTCTCTGAACTTTGTTGACCTAAAAACAGAGATAAAGAAAAAAAGACACAGGGATATTTCATAATTTTTCCTGCAAAATGATTCTGTGAGCATTTTCCACCTCAGTACCTTATTAGCACATGTTTATATTGCTTGATAATTAATCCAACCTTAACAACAACAACAACAACAACAACAACAAAAAAAAAAAAAAGTCATTCAAAAACTCTTGAATTTTTTTCCCACATTTTTGAGGTGCTATAAATCATACAGAATCAGGAAGGGCCCAGAAATTTTTTTTGCATACAGGCCCACAAAGTGTATTTACACCACTGTTTGCGTTAGCTGCAATTCTGATGAAGACTGAATTCTACGTTGATTGGTTACATAATTTTTATGTTAAATTTACAGTAAGATACTCAAAATACTTCATTGTCACCATGTTAAATAATAACAATTATTAAATGTGTATTCTGCTTTAATTACTAAAAGAATGATAATAAAAATATTTTAAAATTTCATAATTTTTACTTGTTACTATTTGCCCCAGGTCTACAACAAATAGATTAAAAAAAAATATTTGAGCTAAAATCAACTAAATTGCTGAATGCCTTTTTACTGCATCTGATGAATAAATAGTTATAGTACAAAGAAAAAGGAAGTTATAATAAAAAAATCATAAATAAATTTTAAAATATAAACATTTTACCCAAACTGTTATAACTAGACCCTAGCTTCCTTACTTATGTACGTATATGTTACCAAAGTATGATATGCCGTCATTCTATCAGGCATTTTACATAATGCTGGTTGTCTCTTAGGTAAAGTGTGAAATATGAGACTTATTACACACTTTCCCTAGGCATTGTATATAATACAGTCAAAAGTCATTAATCCGACTCGTCGGGACTTCGGCGATTCCGGATTATCGATTTTTCTGGATTATAGATCATCAGTTTAAATCTCGTAAGATGGCATGCAGAAATTCTAAAATTAAAAATATGAAATCACGTAATTTATGAAATAAAGAACAATTTATGATCTAAAGGGTATCAAAATTTGCAAAAAAAAAAAAAAACTTAATATTTATTTGTTTACTTTATTAAACATTTCTTTCAATGTAAGTTGTTTAAGTTTTGCTTCGTTTTATGTGATAATACTTTCTCTTTAATTCTATAAACAGACATAATTTCTTGTTCAGTTACAAAGTTCCGTTGTTCAAGTCCTGTAATTGCTGTGTCGAGAATTCTGACTAACTTTGTCAATCGAAATTTTTTCGTTTTCACTAACCTCTGTTACTTTCTTTGCTATCGGAAGCGAATTATAATGACGAGAATTTTTTAAATCATATCAAAGACGGAGCACATTGAGATGAATACTAATTTGGTAAGGAATTATAAGCCAAATAAAATAAAAACATCTGCCCTGAAGATAAGGATAGTGCTGACAGATCAACTTCCAATTCATTACGCGCCCGCTGCGGCGTTCTCCCCGCCGAGCAAACGTTAAATTGATAACAGATTTTATCGGATTTCAAAAACATACTTTCGCTTTAGATCCTTTACATATTAACAAATATATATCGGAAATTCTATTTGATATAATCGAAAGTTTTACTTTTATAAAATTGCTCTTACAGTCTGCAAAAAATAATAAGCCGGATCCAATTCGAAAATTAAGGAGCAACGCAATCATCAACATTAACTGAAATAGATAATTAGATAATTTTAGCTTATACGTCCATTATACATAAAACGCGCACGCAAAAACGTATTCTGCACTTGCGCACACTCATATGCGCAGTCGTAAAAAGTCTTACGGGCACGCGTAAACACCTATGCGCATGTGTCAACGCGGCGCGTGCGCAGAAAGTTTTTAGTTTTGAGGTCCGGATTATAGATTATTCTGAATTATGGGTGTCCGAATTAACGACTTTTGATTGTACCAGGACATTTTATACAATGACAAATGCTCTTTAGGCAAAGTATGAAAAAAAGGTTATGATAAGACTATTATTTAAGACGTTCATTCCTCAAAAATACAAATGTTATTTTGAAAAATTAATGAAAGAGTGCCATTAAAAAATGTTATTCAAAATATGTAAAAACAATAGCTAATTGATCTTGATACTCCATAAAAAATTTATATTTTCGATCTGGCTGAGACTGGGAATCAATGAGATTTACCTAACAACGGAAATTAAATTCAGAAACAGTCATAAGTTTCACAATAATGGCCTTTTTAATAGCTTTTTGTTTTTTCTGGCAGGGCTCACAAAGGTGACAGTACAATGCAATGTTTTTGTATTTGGTTAAAAGTTCTTTCAAACATTTTGTCATATCGTCCTTGTCCAGTACTCATGTGAGTTTTAATGAAGTACGAGAAATAACTCAACGTCCGTGACATAATACTGTATAGTACTGACATTCTCCTTAACAGGAAAAATGAATGTACTTTTGTTTTCCACAAACATCATATCCTAGCGATTCAGTGGTCAGTAGTCTTTTGATTCCTTCTTAGTAATCATTCTGGCTTTTTTACATCATTTATTAACTTCTGATAAGTAAGACACAATAACACGCCGAATAAATACTAATTCAAAAGTCAAACAACAAAAATCAGCGTTATATCTACAAAATTTTGTAGATATAACGCTGATTTTTGTTGTTTGACTTTTGAATTAGTTCTGATAAGTAGTTTTGGTTCTTTGAAACGAATCCTAAATGTATTTCATACTTTGCTGGTTTGTCATTTGGCATTCTACAGAATGCCCAGGAAATGTGTGAAATATGAATAGTTTCATACATTGTGGGCTAGTTTTAGGCATTATATACAATGCATTCTATAGAATGCTGGATTTCAAACTCTATCGATAACTTATACACCAAACATAATTCATGGTTTAAGACTTGCATTTTTTTAAAAATCTTGAATTGAAAGAATCAAACTTCATTCCTTCATCTTGCATATGACAGTTTTCAGAGTTTTTGGATGGTGTGCCATTTCTTTTACAGAATAAAATTATTTACAACAGTAAGGACACAGCATAAATGAGGCCACTGCCTCCATAAAGTTAACTACTTCTTTTTAGTCATAATAGTTGATTTTCTTTTTCCTTTTTTTTTTTTTTTTTTTGTTTCCCTCCTTCACTCTCTTTCATTTCCATTTTAAAAAATAAAATATTTTATTATACACAAGAAACTAAGCATTTAATCTCTCTCATACTTTGACTCCATAGCTAATGTATTATTTCTCAAAATTTAAGCAAAAATATGGAAATGAAATTAAAGACATTAATAATATGCAAATTTCTGAGTATCCTAGAATTATCGTGTTAAACTAATGTCTAATTTGAACAATCCGGCAAATATTCTCTGTGTTCTTGCAACACAGTAATTATAGGCAAGGGCCTACATATTTCTCCCACATCTATTTCACCCATTAGCCCATCTTCACCCATCATGTGCGAGGAATCTCTGTTAAGGGAAATCTAAGGTGCTGGTAAGAGCGCGATGAAGTTAGCGCTGCGACCAGTCTAAAAAAACAGTATCACAGAACATTTCTAAGAAAAATGAAATCAAACTCATAACTTGAAAGTTTTCCAAGTATATTTAGTAAACATCAAATGTGCAGAAACAATATTACCTTGTTGATTGAATCCATGATAATTTTTTCTATAACAGAAGCATCTATGGGTTGTCCAATAAGCGCTTCAGGAAAATTAATTGTAGTAACTCTGGGAGCATATTCAGCGAAAATCTCTGTAAATGAAAAAAAACCATCATGCATAATTTGAAAAAGTGGCATCCACATTTTCTTTTAATTTTGTCATATAGGCATAAACTATGTCGACATAAACAAATCCATTAAAAAAAAAGCAATTATAGTATGGACTTCAGTCTAAAAACTAGTGGGAAAGATGGTATTTTAAAGAGTTATGTAGGATATTGGTCAGAAAAAGATTTATGAATTTGTCAAAATTCAGCATATATTCTGCTGACTATATTTCATCCATGCTTTTATATTCACCTCATGAAGTACAAGCAAAGATTTAATACCTTTAAATAAATATGTTAAGATTTTCCTATAACAAGAAGTGAAAGTTTTCTCGCGTTCAAATTGTTTTTATTTCCTATTCTATTGGGAAGAGGCTGGACATAATTACAATTGTATTTATTTACTTCTGGCCTTCAGAGAGAATGTGCTTCAACTTTTACCAGTCTAATGCTATATTGAGAAAAGAATACCAGACTGCTATATTCAGAAAAGAATTAGTACATTAAATTTAAATAAGATCAGCCGAGACTTTCTTATTGGTTATTATATTGGGCAAGTTGTTACATTGAAGCTGTTAGCACAAGTCAACTCTGGCATTTGAACAAATCTCATGATCTATTTCCAATTATATATATATATATATATATAAAAAGATTTTAATGGTTACACAAAAGTGTTTGTTAAGGTTTTTTATGCTCTCACTGAGCTCACACAAATTCTTCCACTTAATCACTTTCATTATTTAATAACATTTATTTTTCTTTAATTTTATTCATTAACATATGATAATACACAGATTTTTAATAAACACTAAATACATGCATTAAAACGTATCTCTATATATGTGCAATTTGGAACATGGTTCTACTGCAAAATAGAAATCATTTAGGATATATTTTAACATGTATTTCAAATTGCAGTTTCTTTTCACAGATAAATTAATCAAATTTTAAGATTAGCTTAGAATAATTTGGTATTTTGTTGCAAACATTTACAGCATGTTTTATGGAGAAAGAAATATTTTCTTTTTCCTTCTTTTAATTGTCTGTAATACAAAAATTGTATGTTGTACATTTTTCAGTCAATGAGATGCAAGAACTAAGATTTTTTTCATCACTACAATCCAAAATACAGAGGTTCACTGAATAAAATGAGTTTCCTTGCACAATGACTACTATCAACTAAGCAGTTTACAAAGGTTGAATGAGTGAGACATCAAGTGACAACAGTCGAAAAGTTACACAAAATTTTCAGAGTTTGGAAAAATACTGACTGTCTGAAAATGTCTAGCTATATAATAAGAGCTTTAATATAGCTATAATTAATACACTACACAAATATCAGAAGATGACAAACTATAGACTGATAAACTAAACTTTAAATCCTTAAATATTTATCTCAGACGTTATCACATAGTTTCTTAATAAAAGGTAAATAATTTAATCTGAACAGTTATACCATTAGACATAGAATGGTTCTGTAATTATAAAATATTCTTGTAGGATTCCCACACACAAAAACAGCCAATCAACAAGATATCTGTTTCACTTTAACATATTAAGTACATTATGTTCTCAACCTTAAAATGCAAAATTTGAGAATGAATTTATAGACCTGAATTACTTTTCAATGCCTATTGCTAAGCAATTCTGAACATACTTTCATGAGATGCAGGGAACAACTGCAAAACAAAAAGCTATTTGTTTTATCAATAAATTAAACAGCTCTGAATGTTAACTTTGTTGTCAGCCCTTCAAAACTATGACTTATTAATATTTCCATGAATTCTGCATGAACATTTACAGAACTTTTTGACTTTAACTTTTTAAGCATATTGAAAACTTTATTTTACAGAGGAAATATAAAAAGTCAGATTTTGAATTGTAGAATAATTATATTCCTAGAGCCGAAAATGTTCCCATAAAATTCTCTATTTTATTTGAAAAACTTTGTAACTGCAAATACTAATCTAGGATCAATATTAAAAAAAATAAAGCCTGAGAAACTTAAAACATCCTGTACAATGCAATGCACTGATTTATTTAAAGGATATGTCCTTCAAAATCTATCTCCTGTCTCTTTCCTTGAATCCTGGAAAAGTTTGATTTGGATTAATAGCAGTAATCACACTGCTGAGATAACTTTTGATTAACTAAAACAATTTGCTGTTTTTTGTTACATGTATTTAAGTACATAATATTAACAACATTAATCAAAACTAATAAATAGAAAAAACATTGCATATCACAAAATATATTCAACTGTTAAAAAAGCTGGCCAAAAGGTCACACCACCTACGTGAAACTTGCCATAATCGAATTTGGTCATACTGGGCATTAGCATATTCTCTACAGTATGAAGTAATATCATTAGGGCATCATTTATAGTTAGTTGTAATTAGAGTATAGTTTGTGTTCTTGGAATTAAAGCAAATTTTGATCATTTGGTACAATATTGTACTTTGAGCAAAGAATCTTGGGTTTTTCTGATAAGAAACAGATACCATGTCATGCTACAATAATCTCATTCCCCAAATTTCTCACTATCCCACTCTGCTGTTTTTCTTATCAATCCATCTTCGTATCTGTTTCGTACTATGGGATTAATGTTTCTCAGACAATTCAATACATCCAAAACAAAGTGATGGCCAGTCTAAGGAAAATAAAAAAAAAAGGCATTCTATGAACGCTTCTAGTAATGTTAGTGTGCCAATTCTAATTAAATTTGTGTTTCTGATGGATGTTATTTTGAAAGTGACTATTCACTATGTCCACAAAAGTCCGTATTTTTGCAATAGTTGATTGATTTATAGACATAGACTTCAAATTACTAAAATGTTTCAAATGGTGCAGATATTTATGCTATGTCATTCTTAAATTAGAAAAAAATCAATTTTGATTTAAAAATTACAATATCTAACTTTTTACATTCTCTCGCTACAGTCTGTATTGTTTAGTAGAAGTTTATAATTATTATAGAAAATGAAACACAAAGAGTTTGACTCCCACACAATAAAAACTGACCGAGATATTTAACTTCAAAATTTAAGATTCAGATATCATTTTCAAATTGTCTTGATTGGTTGGTTAAAAAATAAATTAGAATAATTTGAGGTTGAATTTGTCCTCTTAATGTGAATAATGCAGTAATAAGTCTGTAATCCGGACGTCCACTATCCGGAATGATCTATAATCCGGACCTCAAAGCCACAAACTTTTTTTTGAGGGGCGTATGCTATTAATGCGCATTGGGAGGATATGTCTCCAGATACGTTAAAAAATGCTTGGCATAATTTACGGTCAGCTGCTATATTTCATTGTGAGGATGATGAAGACGACAGCCGCGAATTTGAAGGTTTTCGGACATCGCAAACTAAAGGTGAAATTTTCCAGTTACTGGATTTTGTAAAGAAATGTTGAGATTAAACTGAAGATGATATACAGAAGTTTTCATTGGACGACAATACCCCAATCATCAATCATTAACGGACGGCGAATCTGTAGTATGGTTCTAGATTCAGAAAACATTGCTTCCGATAGGTGGAACTTTGTAACTGAACAAGAAATTATTCTGTTTATAAATTAAAGAGAAAGTATCAGCACAAAAACGTAGCAACTAAACAACTTACATTGAAATAAAGTTTTAAAGTAACAATAAATTAAGCCTTTTTTGTATATTTTGATATTTTCATAATTGCTCTTTATTTTATAAATTACGGTTTCATATTTTTAATTGTATAATTTCTGCCTGCCATCTTACAAGATTTAAATTGATGATCTATAATCCGGAAAATCCCTTAATCCGGAATCGCCAAAGTCCCAATGAGTCTGGATTACGGATTTTATACTGTATTATTTTGTGATTTACTAGTTTGTAACTTTATTTAATTTGTAATATTGTTACATTTGGCAAGCTGGAAGAATTTTCACCCAAGTAAATGAGTTTTCAAATATTAAGAATACACTATTCTCATGAAGCTCTATTACTTTAGAATCATACTCTAATAACCATACAAATTTATTAAATTTTAATATTCACTTCAGTACATAATACCTTCCATTTTAATATACAAAAATACTCTTAAGAGTTGGCTATATGCTAATACTGAAGTCTGCTACTGTTTTCAAAAACATAAATGAGCTAAGATTCTGCAAATGAGATCTTTTTTTCTGAAAAATATTTATTGGTTAATGCTATATATTTAATTAGAATTGGCACACTAACAGACATGACAGTCTGCATAGCAGTGCTTGTCACTTTATTTATTAACTGTCTCTAAACTGATATTTCCCTTTTAGTTATGTACAACTGCAATTATTTTTCTCTTCAGATTGCATGTAAACAATTTTCATCATATGAGAGTAAAGTTTTTTATTCTCCCGAATAAGTATAAACTTTATATAATTATAGGAGTCGGAAAACAAAGTAAAATATTAAATTTCATAATTTTTACAAAATGTATTTTTTAAATTTAAAAATGATAAAAAAAATAAATTTCTGTGTCATTCAGAACATACTTATGATTGGAAGTGATGTCTGTGATGACATTCTGAAGCTAAAGACTATAAAAGGACTTAAGCAGACAATGATGTATAATAATTTTTCACATTCAAAAAGAATTTCCCAATAAGTATTTCATATGAATAGTTTTAACAAAGGAATAGTATTTCTTTTTACCTTGAGTACCACAAGCAACATTTTGATGAAACTGATTTAGGTGCTCTCTATAAAACTCTATAGTAGCAAATGCATCAGAACAATATGCACAGTGAAAAGGCTTGGCAGTATCATGAACTACCATGTGACGAGTAAGAGAACTCTTTGCTTTGAATTTAGCATTACAAATTGTACATTTGTGGTCTGGAACTGGAGCATATGTATGTTTTTTCATATGCTCATACAATGTTCTCAATGTGCTGTACATTTGTCCACATTTAGAACATCTGTGGGGTCTGTCTCCCGTGTGAGTGCGCTCATGTTGCTTTAAATAAGATGATTTCTTAAAAACTCTGGAGCACTGTAAGCACCTGAAAATTAAAATGATACAAATTATGATTCATTTAAAAAATAATTTTAAATTTCATTAAAGTAATAATTAGGATCAATGAAGAAGACAAAAAGAAAGGAAAAACAAATAATAATAATAATATATTCTGAAATTGCACCCAACCATTTATTAGCAAGAAAAGTTCATGAGTTTGATATGTACAGAATACATAATCACATATGCAAATTTAGCACAATTTGAACCATAGAATATTTCATACATGGCATGCATGTTGTTACATTTAAATGTTTGACTCAGCTTTTCCCCCAGAGATAGCACTAGGCATTCAAAAGTAGAAAAGTTTATTGTAAACAGATGGACAGACTGGTGCCATGATGGGAAGCAGAAGTCTTTTGGTTCTGTATTGAGATTTGATTGTACTGAGACTGTATTGAGATTTGAGATGGTTCTGTATTGAGATTTTGTGTTATAATATGAAAGACGAAAGGTCATCTTCTCATGCATAGTTATTTTGGATAATAAAGAAGGAAGAGAGGGATAAGCAATCCCCTTCATATCTATTTATTTATTGCTCGTTCATTTTTTTAGTATAAGATTTTGACATTTTAGGTATATATGATCCTTTTCACAATTGAAGTACTTTTTGTCTGAAACTTAATGGCACAGCTCCATGATGGGTAGATGGCAGTTATTTGTTTTCAACATAAAAAGGTGAGCCAGCCAGGATTCTGGTATTTTATATTTGAATATTTGTGACATTTATTTTATTATTGTATGAATAGTATTTAATAGAAGAAATGGATAATGCAGTTAAAAAAATATGGCTCAATGAGAAGTTCATTTACAAAACTCTGTTAAGGTTCTAAACAAAAGTTGGAAAGAATAAGGCATTCTATGGAATTTTAAATAATAAATTTGTGAAATTAGAAAAAAAAATAAATAAATAAATAGTGAATTAACTGATGATAATGAAGAAATTTTGAACATTCTATTAGATAATGAAAAAGTTGCACAAAGAATATTAAATTCAGAATAAAAAAAGGCGGAAGAATATTCTGATATGTTTATTACTAATAGAAACTAGGAGTTAATGATTCATTAGGACACGATAAAACAGAATCATCTAGTGGGGCCGATAAGAGAAAGAAAACAAAACTACCAGAAATTGTCTTACGGAAATTTGACAGTGAACTCTTAAACTATTTGCCCTTTTGGGCAGAAGTTGAAAAAAATTCATGAAAATGAAGACTTGAGTAACTGTGAAAAATTCCATTATTTATCATAATTTATGCTACCAGGTAGTTGAGTTAAGGAGTTCATTGATATTTATATGGTTACTAACAAAAATTATGAAAAAGCAATTTTTAATTTCTGTATGAAAAAAGCGATTTTGTAATGTGGAACTGTTAACATAAGGGAATTATTAAAATTAGTAACACAGAATGTAGGAAATCAAAAGAAAAAGTTGTCAATTAGTAAACTGGTCAATAAGTCACTCATTTAAGAACAGAAGAAAACATGGGAGTTAATCCTGATAATAATGCTCAGAGGCTTTTTTCCACTTCTTGAATCATGCATGTTCGAAGACCTTTTGAATTTTGGCAGAGCAGTTCACATAACGGAATCAAAAGTAAAAAATCTCATAAAATATTTCCCATACTGCATATACCATAACATCTGCTAATCACTGCATGACTGAGTATAGCCCCATGTTTTTATTTGGTTAAATTTGTCAATAGATATGGAATTTGCACTTATGTGGGCATTTAAATCAAGGCATTTTTTTTCTGTGTGTGTGTGAGGAAGGATCATTACAGCATTCTGATCTAAAAACTGAACACTTTAGTTGAACCATTTTAGGTATTTTACAGCATGTCTTACGATTAGAAAAGCAATAACTTTTCAAATAATGCTCTCAGTTATGATTACAAAATTCAGTAACTTCTAAGTAATGACAGAAACAGTCAACAGTTTTCATGCCACTGACAAAGATTGATTTCCTGAAAAGTATTCCTTTCTAAATCCACTCTCACAAGTGATTCCTCACTTCTTTTTTTGTTACAATAAACCAGAGGAAGAAAAGTAGTGAAAACCTAAAATGCAGGTTTTTTTTTTTTTTTTTTTTTAAAAAGAAATATTTCTATATAGAACAGAATTAAAAAATCTTCAAAACTTTCAGCAAAAAATAAAAAGAACTTTATCTATTGAGGTAATAAATAACTATTCTTATTTTAATTTCTGAAGCTCACAAAAGTTATATGCACTTGCTTCATGATTTATGTACAATACCAATATTTCTCGTTCATGTAAAAATTAATTCTTTAGATAACTATGCATTTTAAGCAAACTAACAACTGTATTTATTTACATTCGACAACCTGCCATCTCAGCTGTTTCATTAGTTTAGTTTCTGATCAGCTCATACTAATAGGGAAGACACACACACACACACACAAAAAAAAAAAAAAAAAAAAAGGCATGTGAGTTAAAACCGTCAATGTACTCTCACATCAACATACTCGGAAAGAACTGAAGATATAAAATTCTGCTTGGTGATGAATATACCTTCCTCCCACTGCTAGGGAATGAGGAAATTGGAAAAAATGTATCCTCTTTAACAAAGTAATTAAATGATTTTTTCATATAAGAGGATGCATTCACAGCATAGTTTACAATATGAATATGTGATAATGATGTTTCCATAATTTAACAGCAACTAATAATTGATGAAAAAGATTATCATAGTTGTTATTGGAAATGATAAATTCATGCTAATGTTCTGAATATCAAACATATGAAATGCACAAATTTTACAATAGTTTTTAAGAACATTTTTAATCTTTACGATAAATGACCAAAAATATATTATAAAAATAAAAGATGCTTGCCAAGAAAAAATTTAAAACATTTAGATTAAATTAATTCATTGTGATTTTAAAAATATGTAATGTATACTCACTTATAAGGTTTCTTAGATTTTTTCCTTTTTTTCGGAGGTGTTTTTTCACCATCATTGATGGAAACAACGTTTTCTTTAGTTACTACTGCTGATGTTTCTGTGGGATGCAATGCATTTGCTAATCTTGCAGTTACAAGAGTTTCTGTTACAGGTGTAGCTGTTGAAGTGACAGGTGCTTCTCCAAATGTTTCAGTTACAGTTGTAGGCTATGCAGTAGTAAAAAGTATTTTAATTGTTTCTCAGAATGGCTCAGCTATTACAACTATATTTCTAAAAATTTAATTCATTCCTCTAGAATTGATTGCAAGATGAAAGCCCATAATTTATTTTTTACTAAAAAGTGAGTTTGTGGTAAAATTTAAAACTATTTTTTTAAAGGCTAAATTTTAAAGTTTTTTTATTGATTCATACCATTTTATTTAATTTAAATTTATTTGAACTCAGAATGAAAGCAAGTATTCAGTCATTTATTAATTATGGGTTTATTATACTTTGCCCCAAAATTGAACTTCTTATTAAAAATATAACCAACAACATATCTTCAGACATCACTGATATGAAAAGGAAAATTGGCTCTTCCAATTTTTAGCTATAACCTCAGAAGGAAAAACAGAGCTTTTAGTTTTAACACAAAGAAAAAAAAGTTAATTATCTTTTTGTCATAGCATTTGTAAAAGTAGAGCAAAGGCTTTGTTATGATAAACAAGATCTCATATTTATTTATTACAGGAAACAAATGAATTCATCATTATTGTTTTAGGCCAAATCAGTACATAAAGCATTCAATCTTTCCCTCCATCCATATCAATTGAGTCCCTCTTTATTAATTCTTGTTATATTCTACCATTCACCACTAAGTCACTTTAAATCAGCCTCTTGGTCTTCTTTTATGGGTATATACTCAACAGCAAACAAACTTTATCATATAACAAAATCTTTAAAATTATAATTATTTTTGCATAGCCTCTATCATCTTAAAAAAAAAAAAAAAAAAAAAAAAAAAAAAAAAAAAAAAAAAAAGATTTTACATTACGTGCAAAGGGGCGTTTTTTTAACATTTTATCGTTCTTTTATTTATTAAATATCACGTTCTTCACACTTAAACCATAAAATTCAGTTCAAGAGCAATATCACAAAATAGTTTTAAATTGAGCATATTTTTAGGATTTTTGTTATGCAGTCTCACCCACTGGAGATAAAAAAATTTTTTTCGTACAGTGTTGCCATTGCTCGCTTCAAAATCGTCGAGTTTCTTAATATAAATTCGTTAACGTTTTACAAAATATGAAATAGATAATAAAGACTCTAACATTTGGTGGCAACAGTTTGAAAAGCGAAACGGACGTTTATAGTGAACCAATACAAAATCGCAAAACGAAAACAATAGTCCTTCAAGGACAAAGCCCCTTTGGACTAAAAAAAAGATGGGAGGGTTTTTTTTAAACTGTATCAATGTCATATACACTTTATGAGGAATGTGAAAAGAAAAATCATTATTTTGTTACAAAACTTAACTGAACTATTTAAACACAAGTTTTATTTGTGTAATTATTAGATTAAATTCTTTGACATTATGCAAGTTTATCACTTGGATGTGCTTGCATTTCTTTTACACAAAAGATTTCATAGCAATTAATAATTTATGAAAAAGATGATTACAGTTGTTATTAGAAATAATAATCAATATTAATATTCTGGATACCAAGCATATAAAACATAAATTTTACAATAACTATCTTTAGTTACTTTTTTAAATCTAGCTGCAATTAAATAATAATAATTAAAACTATATCATGAAAATAAAAAATTATACATAGAAGTCTTTTTTTCTTATCTGTAAGTACATTTTGAATCTAACACTATCCAATTTTAAATCTGTTTTTTTGTCCCCTTTTTTATTTTTGTTGGTACACAGGCTAAAAATACTTTCGTTCAAATAAATTGTGGTGAAGGGCATTATGATCTCTAATGTTTTGGTAGAAAGTTTAGAATATAGTACTTGTCTGCAACAAAAAATAACAAATCAGCTGATTAATTTTAATTCTGAAATGGATTTTTAATGCAGCCATATCTCTCAATTTCCTTTTAAAAGTATTCTCTTATGGTTTTTTCCAACCATGGAGTGTGTTCTAACATGCACTTTTAATCCTATGATACAAATTTAATTAATTTTCCATTAGAAACTATTCAAGTTTCAAATAAATAATAAATTAGAAACTATTCAGGTTTCAAATAAATAATAAATTAGAAACTATTCAGGTTTCAAATAAATAATAATCTCTTTGCCATACAATAAGCACACATTTAATTTTAAAAGGGAATTAATTGACTTTTTATTAATTTTAATAATTTGACTCTGAACTCTAGTGTATATTAACTTCATCTGAAATGGCAACAGAGATATTCAGTCATGTAACAAGAGATATTTGGGAAAAGTACATTATGAAATTAATTTTTCCAATATTAAGTTCTTATAAAAGTATTTAATATTTCAGCAAACTGAAAATAATTCAAAAGTAATTCTAAGTCATATCTAAATTTAATTGTTTGTGATACTCTATCAGTATACTAAACCTACTTGAAAACTTCCTGTGAAAATGAATGAAAAGAACTGGACTTTTATTTTCAATAAATGGCAAACATTACCTGCAATGTTAACTGGTTTCCTACCAAATCACTTTCTGAAACGGAATATATATTGCTTTGACTTTGATCAAATACTTGAGCATGCGGTATAATCTCAGGCTGTTCTATGAGTCCAGTATGAGTATTAAAGACTTCTTGACTCAGATGCTGAGGCATTTGGGATAATGTCTCCTGTTCAAAAGGAAATAATTAAGTAAACTATATAATGATTTAATAAAATATGTTACTAAAGTTTTTAAAAAGTCTAAATGATAATCCATATAAATTAGTTTAATTCTTAAATTGCACTGTTTTTTTTTTTTTTTTTTTTCTTCAGTTCTTATGCTATGATATTTTAATGAAACTTAAATTCCTGTTTCCTGAAAATAAGCCTTAACAGAGCTTAAATTGTGCTGGCTTTCCAGCACAATTTAAGCTCTGGATCCCTAAGTGAAATCCAGCGCTGGATGAGTGAAAGGGCTCCTGCACTTTTTTTATGCAAGTGAACTGTAATTTTAGCAGATAAATTTTGTTTTAATAGTAAACATGCCTTAAAAATTGATTCTAACTTCTGAATGCAGGCCTGTCTTACCTTCACACTCAAAACTTGCACAGAGTTTGAGGCTTTTAAGGGAAGAAAAGCTCCCAATCATATATCAAAGACTTACTTTCCAGGATGTGCGATGAATTTATGACAGCGGGTAAATTTTTTGCTGAAAGTACTAAAAGTGATATGCTGGTTGTGCATGTTCCAGGTTAGTGACTTTCTGGTGCAGAGCTCCTGTAGACTTTTTTAATGATGCAACCAAACAGAGGAAATATATAATAAAACAAATTCCAGGTAATAAATAATAAAACTCTGTACAAGTGACTACTGCTGTCACTTGTACAGAGGAGTATTACGTTTATTACTATGCTGTTATTGGATCATATTCAGGGAAAATTTCTTCTTGATGGTTAGAATTATATTGATAGGGCATAGTGATCAGAAAGTCTTGAATTCTTCCCTTTTTATTTTCAAAGCCACATTTTTCCGTTAAAATTTCTTTCCATATCCTCATGCTGTTTCTAGAATTGTCAATATTCTGCTTAGTGATGCTTTAATCATTTATCTGTTTTCATTGGTGTGCTGCAAAAAAGAAATAGCTTTTGTATCTGTCATCCTTTGAAGCAATACACTATACACAAGACAGTGATCGGTTGAACTGCTTCTTAGCTTTTAAGTGGAATTGTAATTGCAGCCAGAGACCCAAATAAAACAATGTCCAAAAATTATTTTATTTAACTATTTAAAATTAATTTAACCCATTAACTGCTGGTGTTGCATTGATGCAATGGTCAAAATAAATGCGTATATAAATATAACTACCTAAGATATTTTATACCAGCAGATGATTTTGTGTATGGAATATTTATGAAGATTATTTCTGTCAAAAATATTTGCCTTCAATATCATTTTGTTTATAACTAATTACTCCTCATACTTTAAGAAAATTTGCGACCAGGTATCTTGCTAAAAATATTTCACGAAAGAACGCCGTCCTTAGGAGTGATCTATTTTTAGTCAAGGTCACCGTTTATCAGAACATTACATGTTTATATTTGTTTTGGGAAGGAAGGGAAAACAGGTGTGCTGACGTAACGTCAGCAGGAAATGGGTAAGCTCCTTTTTTACTCTTTCTTTTCAATGTTCTGGTTCATATTCTGGCTGCTTTAAAAATGCTTATAGCGAGGTATCTTACATTAGAAGAAGCCCTTCAAATATTATGTTGACGAAGAAACAGATGATGGTAATGTTAATAATGACCAGAATGAAACAGATATTGTTGTTGCTTCCCCAGAAATTTCAGAAGCTACTGATGAAGAAGACGGGAATAAAAATTTTTTAAATAATGAAAATATTTTACCAAATGATATTGCTGGGAAGTTGAAATTCACATAAAAAGTAAATTTTTCAGCCTTCTAAAAGTTTAGTCATACGAAAGTTTAAAAAGCGAGACTGAACTTGAAGTGATAAAAAGGAACTGTTATATTCTCGAAGAACACAAAGAAGAGATAGAGAGAATTATAAGACAAAACCAAGTAAACTATGCACGTTTTTCGAGTTTCTGTTGTTTACATTTACTCTCTTCTGTGAACAACAAATATATACGCTCAGAAAAAAAAAAAGCCCAAATTTATGCATCTGAAGCCTAATGAAAATTTATTGGAATATTATGCTTACAGGATATCATTCTTTACCTCAAGAAAAATGTATTGTCTTTTGATAAGTACATTTCTGTTCTTTTGTATGATAATAATATCACTTTGAGTACAGGAATATTAAGCAGAATTGCATTGACATAGTCATTGGCAATCTGATAAATTATATGAGGTGAGACCCTATCTAAACTTACTAAATTCACCACTTTTTACTAATGGAATTAAAGTTGTTTTAGATTTCAATGCAGAATGCATATTTCTTTGTAACTCCTATTGGAGTGTAAGAATTAGCAGAAATATATCACAACAGAAGCTAGTAAATTAGCATTCAAAAACCATTGCAGGAGATGTAGACATTTATCAAAGACTGTTGTAAGAGTACCATCGCCAGACTGTTTATATATGCAAGTATGTAATTAGCTTTACATCTGATGTAATCAACTTTTCATGCTTGAATCTTTCAATGAGAATCTGCATTTGTAAAAGACTACAATGTATATTTTAATATTAATTAATTACAAGTAAAGTGATTTGTGATTATTAAAACATAAAAAGAATAATCCTCCGCTCAAAAAGAAATCCACACAAATCTACTCTAACATCCGTAGTCTTATTCCCGATGTTGCGCGAACGCAACACTCCTTTTTCCACAAGCAAGAGCATTTTTTTTTAAATTTCATGTAAATTTATTATAAAGCTTAATTAATATTGTTATTTTTCATGGAGAAAAGAAACATTCCTTGTAGTTTTGGCGGTTGATTAATAATTTATTAGATTTCTCTTTATTTTATCATTTCTTTTGATTTAAATTTAATTATTTTAAATTTCAGTTATTATTTTGTTTATTTTTAATTTTGTTTTTCAGTCTTCTGTAGGGCTCCTCCACTTCTAATTTTAGATATTAAGCCCTGAGCCTTAGGATCACGTTTCAGTGTTCTCCTAATGTAAACCCTAGTTAAGATATTGAAGTGATTAAATGTGCACTTGAATTAGAGCATTTCATTGATTGCATCAATTTCTCTAAGTACCTATACATTCAAGCATGACTGCTATTGATGGAACTGCAGTATTTATGGGTTAAGGGTCTCACACTACCATTAATCAGAGGGGTGCATCTGCAATATACATTCCCTCCACTAGTTATGAAAGTGCACGCATTACATGTATTTTGGCAATTTGCCTTGATGGAAAGAATCCACCTCTAATCATCTCTAAGGCCAAGAAAGAGGAAATTCAACGTGTTTCAGGTACTTATATTCTTGCAACTGAAAACGCTTGGAGCACACAAGCAGAAATAAGAAAGTGGTTCTATTTCTACCAAATGTTTTGTGAGGTGGCCAAAGAATAGTGGTATAGGATTCTGCCAGCGCTCACTAAACCATGAAGAACTTCCTTGCAGAAAGAATAAAATAATGATTCCTGCATGAATGACTGTATATCTCCAAACTCTCTATCTCTCTCTTGTGATATTGCAATAGACAAGCCATTTAAAGACCATCTGTGCGAGAAATCAATGATTACACTGAAAATGGAATGGAGAGAAATTTAAAAAAAAAAAAAAAAAAAAAAAATTGTTACTAGGATGAAGAATGTATAGGGTAAAATAAAGGACAGTTGTGTTGCCATTGCCCTGTGAGCAGGCTACATGGACAAGGGCTCATCTGAGGAGAGCTCTATTGCTCAGCATGAGAGAATAAGGCATTCATTTCTTACAGGAAATGAAGTTGCGAAAAATTCAGGCCGGAATCTGCGATTTGGAGCTTTAGGATGATGTTTCAGAAGGAGACAACTCTTCTGTATTAGAATAAATTATTTCATTCGTTTTTAAATTTTTCTTGAACATGAATGAATATATTTCTTGAAACTGAAGAGAGGTGTTTTCTTGAATGAACAAATGTTAATTATTACACATGGAAAGTAAGGCATTCCCTGAAAATAGGCTCTAGTGTGTCTTTTGCAACAAAAATTAATATAAGACTGGATCCTGTTTGGGGAGAAACACGGTGTTACAATATTCAGTGTCTTAAATATCTCACTTGAAACTTTAAAGAATTTTTACTGTCTCAGACAGGAAAAAAAACTTAATACCTATTTTGGAATGGATATCTTATATAAATTTAAATATTAATTTAATTAAAAAAGATTAAAAGTTAGATTTACTTTTTTTTTTTTTTTTTTTTTACTAACACTTCATTCAGTGCTTTAAATTATTACCTTGCAAATGAAAATTATTATATGAATTTCAATAAATATATATGATTTCTGAACTTACTGATGTTGACATGACTGGCTCTTGTTCAGAAGAAAAATTCTCAGATGAAGTAACAACAGGTTGTATCTGTTCACAATTATCTTGAATTGTTACTCTTTCAATATTTTCAATGACTTGAACTGGTTGAGTTCCACTTTTATTAACCTCTTCATTTTCCACCCCAACGACACCATCCGATATAACTGTCACAGCTAATCCAGATGCCATTCCTAAAGCCAGTTCGTAGCGATGGGTTTTCATATGTTTTTTACAATTCATTGAAGTTTTAAAAGTTTTTTGACAATAAGGGCACATATACGGCCTATCAGTGCAGTGTGTGCACATATGCCTCTTTAAAGAACCATTTGTAGTGAAAGATGTTTGACATATTTCACAGACAAAAGCTTTTGTACCGGAGTGAGTTTTAAGATGAGCTTTTAGAACACCATTTGAGACAAATGATCTATGGCACTGATTACATTCAAAAGGTTTTTCTCCAGTATGTGATCTGATGTGTTGTTTTAAATGACTTGATTTTTTAAAAGCTTTCAAACAATGGTGACAGAGATATGGACGTTCATTAGGATACTTAGACTGCACTAATTGATTATACATAGGGTTATGTTTTGAAACAGGCTGTACAAATCCAGTATCAGTAATAAGAATTGGTTCCTGCAACTGTATATTGGAAACATTAATATCACTAACATTAGATGTTTTTGAAGTTCTTTTTGTCTTTCTTGGACTTTTTTCTTTCTGGTGAGATAGCATGTGACTGTTTCTGTGACCAGATGTGCGGAATGTACGTGAACACACATTACAAGCAAAAGGCTTGGCTCCAGTATGAAGTAACAAATGAACTTTTAAACTACCTGAGGTTGAAAATAATTTTTTGCAATGTTCACATGAGAAATCTTTAGTACCTGAATGTGTTCGGAGATGAGCGTTAAGCGTGCTTTTAACAGCAAAAGCTCTAAAACATTGATCACATTTATAAGGCTTTTCATGAGTATGAATTCTAATATGTCGAACAAGATCACTTGGCTTCTTAAATTCTTTGCAACAATACATACATTGATACCATCGAACCCCACCAACATTCCTCATTATATGTTTTACAGTTCCTGTTGCCGAATCAGCAACTGCAACCATCCATGATTTATTTTTTGGCTGTTCTGTAGAAGCTAAACCACTGTTTTCCAAAGCTTGCTGTAAGATATCAGCACTTACACTGGTATCAGCAGCAAACTTCTTGATGCTTTCTTGAGATAAATCATTACTTTCTGTCTGTTTGGACATTTCAATAAGTTGATGTATGACATCATTCACTTGGTTAGTCACTGCATCATCTGATTTTTCTAGTTCTGTACTAGGTTCTGAAGCAGTTGTTGCACTAGAATGGACACGGCTCATATGGGCATTTAAACTCCCCAGTTTTCGGAACACACAACTGCACAAATCACATTTATGTACACCATCTACACCTTCCATAGTCATCAGAGAATGGACTCTCCTAATGTGGTTTCGAAGATTGCCCTTTTGAGCAAAGGATGCTGGGCAGAACTCACAAAGATGAGGCCGCTCTCCAGTATGCTTTACTTTATGTATTAGAAGAGCACCTTTTTGATTAAAAGCACGATTGCAAATTTCACACTTGAATGGTCTTTCTCCTACAAAATCAAAATTATAAATGTTAAGAATTTAAAACTTTATATTTTATGGTCTAAAAAACTAAGCATTTATCATAAACATTTAAAACACATACAAGTGTTAAATAAGACACAAAGCATCAAAATAATTAAACAATAATTACATATTTTTATCTTTAGAGTCATGCCCCTCTTTGGATAAGAAAATCAATATTAATGCTTAACAGTATATGGTTATTTATTAAGAGAATAAAGCAATATAATGTTTTTATTAAATAACAAGTTTATGTCTGTAAGGATTCTTTATTTCTAGCAAATACTCCATGCATCAAACAGGAGAAGAAAGTGAAACAAACAAATAAAATTTGGGTTTAACAGTAAGCCACAGTAAAACTTTTGACAATATTTCATTTGACATATCAATAATAATTTACACATTTAAAATGTGCATTTATATTTTAGTTTCATTCGCGAATACAGAAAATTAGTCATATAACTGATCTTAAAACTAGATTTTAAGCAAAAACTATTAAATTAATTTTTGTCAGTGAGGCACTACTTCCAGCCAGAGTTAAATTAAGGCAAAATATATTTCAGTCAAAAAAGTTCATTATGGATGTCCAGAAATCTTGATAGTTAAATAATATTACAAACCAAGCTAGAAAATTCATGACAAATACTCTGATGGCTTGTAATGTAATACTATTACAAGGTACAATTAAAACTTAGAATTACATTATCTCAAACTACAGAAAATATTACAGATTTTCATGCTTTTATTCAATAAAAGTTAACATGATTATTTTAAAACCCTATTTCATTAGTTATTAAACAATATTATTCATTTCCTCTTTATAGTAAATCTACAGCACTTTAGTATAGATATAAGTATGCTACTTTATAGTCCAAAGTAAAGTCTGTGTTCACACTTTTCTTTTGCAGAAAAGATTTACAGATTGCACACATTAGGATATTTGCTACATTATCAAATATAACTCTACAACAAAGTCATTTTAAAGAAAATGAATCAATTACAAAGCTGCACAGCATCATGCAATAACTATGAACTGAAATTAAAAAATGAACCAACATGCTATAATCGACAGTTATAAATAATAATACTATAAAGTGATTACAGAATGTACAGCTTTGATACGAAGACAATTATACAGCAAATTCCAAATTTTCTGTACAACTATGTTTGCATCAAAGCTACTCATTCCACAATCAATTTAAATGAACCATGGGCTGTCCAAAAACAAATTCTTCTTTACTGTGGAATGATGAAAAGTTAATACCACAAATG